TATATAATTTTGGAATTTTTTAAAATTACATGTTTTATGTCTTTTCCAGCACAAATCGAGTGCAAAGTGGTGTGAATGGTTATTGCATTTATATTTATCCATTTAATTTTGTAAATAAAAATAAAAATAACAGATTGTAAAAAATTTAAATAAACTCAGAATGTAATGGATTTAAAACGGAGAACTAAAAATATACTAGAATGATTATTTATTTATGCCCCTTTTGATGCTTGAGTCAGATAAATGATTGAATCTGCTTCCCATCAGGTAAAGATTTGGTTCCAGAACAGACGCATGAAATGGAAGAGGAGCAAGAAGGCCAAAGAGCAGGCCGCTCAGGAGGCGGAGAAACTAAAAGGCACAAACAAGAGCGGCCAGGAGAAATCAGACGGACTCGATCAGTCGGATTTTCACAGCAAGACAGATTCAAAAAATGGCAGGATAAGAGACTTCAGGGACAGTGACGATGAGGGTGACAATTTCCTCTACAACTCTTCGGATTGCTCCTCGGATGAAGAGCGGAATCAAAACAGTGACGTCAGTCCGCAACCTAACTGAACTGACTGAATATGGGAAGATTAAATGTAAAAAATATATATATATATGTTAAAAATAAGCATGTAATCCAAACATTTTCCAATAAAAATAACTTTAAAAAGCGACTCTGGTGTAAAAAAAAAAAGTGTGGATGCGCTTAAATGCGCATCCACACTGCATGAATCTGTAAAGTGGGTCGAAATTATTGAGATATTGCAAAAAAAAAAAAAAAAATGCAAAAACTGCAAAAATATTTTTCTATGACGTATTTATACAATAAACTACACATAAAATGCATGTTGAAAATAACCCTCCAGCCTTTCCTGCAAATACTGTAAAGGAAAAAAAAGTTTTTTTATTATTAAAGAATAAATCCAGTTAACGGTTGGGTTCATTTTTTTTCTAACAGAAAAAACATGCAGAAACTGCAAAAATATTTTTCTATGACGTATTTATACAATAAACTACTCATAAAATGCATGTTGAAAATAATCCTTCAGCCTTTCCTGCAAATACTGTAAAGGAAAAAAAAAGTTTTTTTATTATTAAAGAATAAATCCAGTTAACGGTTGGGTTCTTTTTTTTCTAACAGAAACACAGTGGTTCATTCATGATTTACTGGGGGTGTTTGAGCCTTGTGTTCCCTCTCTTTGCTCTGACAGCTCGGGTCATGGGAATCACTGTTAATAGCGCTGTCGGATCTGTGCAAACGGGCAGTGAGAGCAAACAGCGAGCAGGCAGTCAGACACAGGAAACATTTCACACCACAATGGGAATAGGCACATATTAATGCACCCTTTAAACAGTTATAGGCAGGGAAACATGAATGCAGTTTCCTAGACTAGAGAGATTCCAAGATCATTAGTTATAAACATTGCAATATCTATTTAAGCGTTTTTTGAAAAAAATATAAAAAGAAAAAAACTATGAGGTTAGTTTAGAAACTAATGGGGAAGTCTAAAACTATCCACTTGTAAGATTTGATTAATTCTGTTTGCTAATAAATATACTCTGATATTAAAAACACAGCTGGTTAACTAATTTCCAAGAAATACAAACATTACTAAAGAAAAACTTAGTTTTGCTTGTTTTAGAGTCAATAACATCTGATCATCCAAGATGGTGAAGAAGAAACTTTTAACAGATTTTGCCAGAGTTTATACTGCAATTAAATATATAAGGCTGAACCTTAAATGACAGGCAGAGATGATGGAGTTCTTCCCTTATGAATATAAAAGGCTGTATATTATGTTAACAATTAGACTTAGACAACTTTTGTCATTTTGTATACAGTGTATACAAAACAAAATGTCATTTTGTACAGCTTTCAGAACATTTCCATTCCTTGAAGTGCAGCAGTGATCAATTGTAAACAGTGCGGGAGAAAATAAAAACATGTTGCAAAAAGGCATTGGAATGGAAGTTCAGAGCATTAAATATATATGGTGCAAGTATGCAGAATTTTGGTGTTGTCAGTGTGATGCAGAGTCTGTGAAGTGATTTAGAGTTTTTTTTTTTTTAACAGTTCAGCAGTCTGAAGGCAGTGGGCAAGAAGCTGTTGCAGAATCTGCTGGACCCACATTGAATGCTGTAAAGCTGCTTCCCAGAAGGCATCAGGGAGAACAGGCCATGGTGGGGGTGTGAGGCGTCATTGATGATGTTATGGGCTCGGGACATGCAGTGCTGGGATGAAATGTCTTTTATTGAAGGAAGAGGAGCCCCACTGATCTTCTCTGCTGTTCTCATCACTCTGCTCACTTTCTTCTCGTCTGAGGCGCTGCAGCCTCCACAGTGAGAAAGCTGGTCAGAACACTCTCTATGGTAGCCTACTGGATGCAGATAAAAAGTAAATACATGTGAAGGAGGGATTTGAATATGAACATCTGGGTATTTATGGGAAAGCTAGAATAAAAAAAAAAAGAAGCAAGCACTGTCCTATTGCATGACTTTGGGTGAACTATTAGGGGGGCATTAAAAGTGTTGCCCAATTTTGTGTCAGTATTGTTTAATACAGTCATAGTGCCCTAATCACAGTGGCGGTTCTAAAACATATTTACCAGGAGGCCCAGGTGGGACAAGTGTTTTTTTTTTTTTTTTACTTTTCAGAACAAAAATAAATGAACCGAAACAACAGTGCAATGTTTCGTCATTTGACATGTTTAGTGAGCCACAGAAGCAAAGAGCCTCTTGCAACTGTGGAGCTTCAGGTTGTATTTCTCTGTTCTTGCGTGTGAAAACTATGTTCCAATCTCCCTATTGTTTAAGCTAAAAGTGTTACTCCCTCATTGTTCCATCCTTGTTCATGTTTATATGTATAATTCAAAATATGATTGAGGGGCCAATCAGCTTTGATTTCTTTGTTAGAGTAAATCATATAGTATTATTATAAGTATTTCACCTCCAGTATAGGGGCTCCTGTCTAGGACCACCCATAGTGAAGTTGGGAGGATTATAAATAATAATAAAATATATCTCTTCATAAAATAATAATAAAATAGATATTTCTTAATAAAAATTATATAAACCAATAAATATAAATAGGCAAACAGTATAAAAAAGACCTAACTGCTGTCAGATAAGATGGGAAATCTAATGTTATTTCTGGGCTTAATGCATCTCTTTAACAGATGCACCTTTCTAAATCTTATATGAGATTTTAGAGCAACAACAAAAAATCAGTAAAAACTGTCTGCCTTATCATGTTTTCAAAGTAAAACCACACACTAGAAAAATGCGTAAAAAGTACAGGGGAAAAAAAAAAAGAGAAAAAAAAAACAATTATTCATGCAAAATAATTTTATAACTTAATAATAATGTGGTATCCTTGGGGTATTATACTGGCCTTCTCAGACTTTTTAGAGGGTCATAACCCTCCTGCTAATTACACCCCAGATTATGTCAGCAGATGCATGAGATCGTGTCGGGATTTTATCCTGATTATAGGATCTAGAACAAAATAGCAAAAGCCAAAAAAAAAAAAAAAAACAGTGTTATGTGTTTTTCACATGCTGCAATTTATCTCTAAAGCAAGCTGGATGAATTTTTATGGTAATGTCTGATTCAATATTTGCTTTTGGAATTCTTTTTTATTTTGTCCTTATATGGTCTGAAATGGTTGATTTTAAACGAGATTTTAAAAGCAAAGCCCTGGTTTTTTTGTGCAATGCGGCAACTTAGAAATAATTTGTCTTCCTGTAGTGATTACTGTTAATCCACAGCAACAGCTGAGAGATTTCCACACCATTAACGGCAGGTTTACTGAGTAATCTTTTGGTTATCTTCAGCCGTTTGCTTTAGCAGGTTTACCTAAAGTTCAGCGTAGGGTCAGCAGGTAAAACAAAAGCATTAGTGAGCTCACAGATCTATTTTTACCAACAGTTTATCTCATATTTTTCCTTTTCAGTTCAGCCTTTTCATGCTAAAATAGTGCAACTAAACAATGCAAACCCTTTACCTGAATTTTTCATTGCATCAAATACAGTTTAGTGCCATTTTTTGTGTTAGACTGCCACATTAGGAATGAACAGTTTATTCTAAAAACATTTACCTTATGTTTCCTATCTTGGTATTTCTAGTATTCTATGGAAATATGGTCACATAAATGTGCCAGAAAACTTTTGTTTTACAGAAAGGGTACCAAAAAAAAAAATAATAATAATAAAAATACATTAATTGATATCTAATCAAGTATCTATCTGGGATTTAATTTAAAATGTAAGCTAAAGGAAATGTTTTTGTAAATTCTGCTTCCATTTAGATAATTATGTGAATGTGTTGGTAGGTGTGTGAGAAAAATGGTCACCTAGAGGTGCAGTGGTTTTTAAACAGCGATAAACCTCATAACATTCAGCATCCCCCGGCCAATCACTTAACAGAACTTGGCTCTCATTGGATGATCCCTGAGGCACACACTCGGGTCTACACAGACCTGTAGTGCGCAACCAGAAACCAGATTGTTAATTTAACTATGGTGTTTGAGAGTAAATGGGGTTTTAAAACATAAGCAGGGCTAACTTTTCCGAACTTTATTTCTAATAAATTTTTAAAATGTCCCTAATTTTTCCTTCCCAGTTAACATTTCTGACAGGTGTAGTATCATCATGACCAAACGTTAATAAGTTCCAGAGGTGTAAATATTTTTCCTGATCTTATTCGGCTTTAATGGAAAAACCATCAGATGTCGTTTTAGCTCCTGCCTGCTTTATGAACTATGGACAAACATTTGATCTGGTTGACCCTGGTGGCCAGTTCCCGACCCCCCTGACTGCCCGTCCTGCTTTAGAACAATACAGGCATCTGCAGAGCTAATTTATAGAAGCAAGTATCAAATGTAACAGAATGACTCTGCTATGTGAACCATGTGGCAAATATACTGGTGTCAGCGGAGAAACAGGACAGACAATATTCAGCGTGCCCCGGTCATTTGATCAGGGCGTGTAAACACTGAGGAAGCAATGCTGCAGTCAAAAAAAAAAGCAAGCTTTAAACGTTTTAGCGTATTCTTTTTGGAAAGAATACCAAGTATACACATAACAAAGTCAGACTCTGACTGTACACTGCCTGTAAAAGGGTAGATATGCTGTAATATAAGGACAGGAGAGAATAAAGAGATATTGTCATGTTTATAGGCAAATATACAAAGATATTAAACATTTTTTTTATTACCGGTAAATAAAAGAATGCAAAGTATTTTTAGTTTGCTGTAGCAGGACCCCAAAAGTGGACATCAGACCTGCTTGCCAAAACCACACCTTCATGTTTACAGCTACTGTGTCTTTATGTCCTTCTCTGAGGATTAGTTCCTGCCTCAGAAGGCTGGACGCCCTCTGGATCTGTTTTACAGTTTGAGCTTGGCATCTTTAGCCTCCATAGCTTTGGTGGCGACCTGGGCGCGCTCCTGCAGCAGTGCCAAATGCTCAGCGGACCCCTGAGACTGGGAGTTCTTTAGCAGGAAGTGACTGATGAAAAGCTTCAATCCCTCTCGCAGCATCCCCAGCTTAGGAATCCCTGAAATCCTGATAACATGGAGATACCAGAGATATTTGTTATCAGACTTTCACAAAGTGTCAACGAAGAAACATTTCCCAAAAGCTTTCAGGTCATTTGAGTTGTTGTATAATTCAAAATAGTGGTTTAAATGACCAGGAACTTAACACATTATCATGCTACAACTCCAAAAAAAAAAAAAAAAATTATAATTGGGGATTATTTTTTCCTGATATCCCAACACAAAAGTATGTATAGTCATAAAGATTAAGGAAAATGATTCATTGCCTCTACTAGTTTTAAACATCTATCCAACTTTATTTATAAAGAACTTTAAAATTTCTAAAAGGACCAAAGTGTTGTACAATGAAACAACATAAAACTATTACACAGACTCAGAGGACATAAATTAATAAAATAAATAAAATAAAATAAAAGCATAATAGACAAGAAAATGAAAATCAGAACCATTTATTTTGTAAAAATAAATTTTTTTTTCTTAAAAAAATTTCTTTAAAATAAAAAATAATTTAAAGAAATTTATCAGAGGCTAAATATAAATAGTTTCGAAAGCCAAGGCAAAGCAATTTAAAATCAGGCAGGTAGACTTTTTAATTCAAATTAGAAAGTAATTCCACAATTTTTGGAGTTGCCACAGAGAAAGCACGATCCCCCCTAAGCTTCCTATCAGTTTTAGGCACCTCAAGAAGCAGCTGATCGGCTGACCTGAGTGAACGTGAGGGTGTTTGAAAGTGAAGCAACTCAGAAAGATAAGATGGAGCATGAAGCAATTTAAAAAAATAAGAATAAAAGAAGTTTAAAATTAACCCTAAAATGTAAAGGCAACCAGTGTAGTGAGGCTAAAATGGGGGTAATGTGCTCATTTTTACGAGTGCTAGATAAAGGACATGCCACAGCGTTTTGCACTCTCTGGAACTGAGCAATGTTGGAGGCACTAACCCCCAGATAAAGGAAATTACAATAATCCAGCCAGGTCGTGATGAAGGAGTGGATTATTGTCTTTAAATGATCTCTAGAGAGAATGGCCTTTATTTTGGCCAACTGCCTTAATTGAAAATTTTTCTTTACTGTCAAATTTAAGATCAGAATCCACTTTGGAACCAAGGGTTGTCATGATTGACTTTCTGTGCTGAGCTAGACAAACTAGTTCAATGGAGGGAACATCAGATGTGCCGCTAAAAACCAGGACCCGTGTCTTACTCTCATTAAATTTAAAAAAAATTAAGGATCATCCGGGTCTTTGAGGCATTCTAACAGCACGCTAATAGGTTTCTCATCTTTTTTGCTTAATGGAATATAAATTTGGCTGTCATCAGAATTATGGAGCCAAGCAGGAGTAGATAAAGGGCAAAGAGAAGTGGGCAGAAAACTGAGCCCTGTCGCACCCCACACATAATAGGGGAGCAAAGGACGACTTCAAATTGCTAAGAGAGACACAGAAAGTTTGGTTTTCTAAATATGATTTAACCGACCCACTGGTGTGTCCCTGATGCCAATCCACTGTGCCAGACGAGACAGTAAAAGTTTCTGGTCTACTGTATCAAAAGCAGCAGTTAAGTCCAGAAGAACAAGAATTACATAATCACCAGAACCTGTAGCTAAAATACCAATAAAAACCCTTAAAAGAACCGATTCAATGCTGTGTAACATATTAAAAAACCTCTAAAATATCCTGCTCTTCCAAAAAAGTCATCAGTTGATCATACACCACTTTATCAAACATTTTTGAGATAAAAGGAAAGCTTAGAGATCGGCCTATAGTTTGAAAAAAATATGGGATGAAGACCAGGTTTTTTAAGTAAGGGTTGAACCACAGCATGTTTTAAATTTGCAGGAACTACACCTGAAGAAAAACTTCTGTTAACAATAGCAAGAACAGGGCATTTAGAAACATGTCTGCAAATTGTTTCAAGCTCAGTTTGCATCAGTTTTTAAAGTCTTGCTACAACTTCTTGTTGGATTAAGGTCTAGACTTTGACTAGACCAATCTAACAAATATGCTTTGATTGAACACTTTAGGTCTGGCTATATGTTTACTATCTGCATCCTCCCGATTTTCATGTCATCTGTACCCTCTAAGCAATGCATATAACTGGTAACTCCGCATAATACTACCACCACCATGTTTCATAATGTGGATTGTGGACTTATTGCATTTCAGCCACATAAAGCATTTTGCTTCTCAGCCCAATTTCATGCAACCAGAGCTGCTCCTTCCACACATCTACTGTATCCCCCTGACTTTATGAGTGTTAGGGTGAATTTAAAAACAATATTTAGGTTAATACTGTTGACATTCTTGGTCTCGTTCTCTTTGCCCAGTCTTTTAATTTGCCTGAAACATGGAATCCTAATACAATAGATTAAATGTTTTGGTTCTAATATGAAAAACTTGAATTTCAGGTTGTATGAACACATTTGTAAGTGCAGATTTTAAGAGTCTACCATGTTATGATTGTAGTGATTATGTTCCTCTAAATGGTAGCATGTTTAATGTTTTGTCAGATATAAGTCTGTAACTCATTTTTTTAGGGGAGTGGTGGCCTAGTGGTTAGAGCATTGTGTTGGGTGTCGGAGGTTTAAGTCCCACACACTCCCACAGACTGCCACTCTGGGTCCCTGAGCAAGACCCTTAACCCCACACTGCACACAGTGCGCTTTACAATGGCAGCCTACTGCTCCCAAAAGGGGATGAGTTAAATGGGTTGCTCTGTACTTGTAACAGTGTAAAGAGAATAAAAGTAAACAAATAAATAAAAATAACCCACCTCCCAAATATGCTGGCTATCTCCTCGGGCTCGGTTTCTTTCAGCAGCTTAATCAGCACCTGACGTAAAAAGCGCACTGTGGGCTTATCCAACTCCCCAAACTCTATAACCTGCACAAGGAACGAGAAAGAAAAGCACAAGAGACATGTTTTATTTGATTTTCTAGCAAAACATGGTGGTCCATTCCAAATGAGTCACCTTGAGGATGGAGAGTGGGAGGCATTTCCTCTGAAGGAAGTGAGACACCAACTGGACCAGATTGGTAAATGCACCACTGGGAAGGTTAGACAACTCTTTGAACTTGTCCCATAAGGAGAACTGGAATGTCATCTAGGTAAGCAGAAACGGTTATTGGCAAATAAAAAAAAAAAAATACATTTACCTACATTTCATCATTTAGCAGTAAACTGTAGGAAAAGTGAGATCCACAGGTGGGACTTCAGCACATTTTTAGTCAACCTGTACTAAACACACTAAAAGAAAATAAAGAAACTGTGTCTGCAGAATATGGTCAGAACATAAAGTCTTGTGCAAAAACTTCAGTCGTAGTTTAATTACCTTCAAATTAGCTCCATAAGAAAACCAAACAAATATCCATATTGTAGCTCTGAGGGAAATAATAATTTAAAAAAAAACAACAAATTTCTTAATAATTAAATAATAATCATCATCAGCATTCTCTCAATGTGCTTTTTTAGTCCTTCTCTACTCTGACTTTTTTTTTAGAGGAGTTAAGTTTGCAAGTAAAATCACTAAACAGGTACTGTTTGAGTTTTAAGCAAACTTTGGACAGCTTTAAGCTTCCTGAAGACCAGAGGGCTCTAGAAAAAAACGATTTAAATGCCCAAAGGACATGATACAATACAACTCCACTTATAAAACACTTTAAAAATTTCAATCATGCCTAAATTGCACAGTAAAAATGAATAAATGAAAGATAATATATATATATATATATATATATATATATATATATTTCAAACTGAGTCAAAAGCAACAGAGAAATGATGTGTTTTAAGAGCAGATTAAAAAAAACAGACTGACTGAAAATGCTCACCTCAAATTTAACTGACAAAAGCTCCAGTAGAACTACAGATAAAAAGATGCATCTAATTCCTTTGACATATGAGTAAATTTAATTCTATTTTAGTATCTGAAATAAAAAGAAAACATTTTCCCCATACAGTGAGGTATGTAAATCTCATTTTTACAGATAATATGATTATGGATAAGAAGTTAATGGAGAAGCTTCATTTCTTAGAAAAAGGTTACAAAATATAACAAAAAATGCCGCAACCATAGCTGTTTTTTTGTTTACCTTTCGGTAAAAACACTTTTTCTCTTCAGAGAATGTTTCCATTAATATGCTAATAAGATAAGGAACAGTGTAAAGTACAGTGGCTCTAAGGGACCAAAAAAAAACAAACAAAAACAAAACAAAACAAAGCAGGTTATAGCATAAGACTGGGTTCCCGGTGTTTCAAACAATCAACATTACAAGCTTAAGCATCTTAGGCTGATTGCACCAACATAGAACTATAAAATGACACTACTGACCATTGGTTAACTCATACTAAACTGGGAGAGGTTTTAAACCTTCCTTGACACCAGATTAAAAGTGACTTTCTATAATGGATCCCTACTTATCTACAGGCTTATTTTAGTAACACTACTACAAGTATAGAAATATTCATCAGTTGTTTTGGTCTGATAAAGGGATCATATATATTCTCACAATTCACAAGAGCTAAATGACTCAAGCAGTGATCAGAACCACAAGCTGTGGAAAAAAGATGGGATTTAAAAAAAACCTTTGAAATAATGCACAACTAAATAAAGTTATACATTTGTTTGAGAGTTTTCATCATTAACCTTTTAAATTTTAACTAAAATATTTGACTGTTAAATACTTAATGGTAAAACACATGAGCAGGAAATGCTTCAATCCAAGGTGAGAACGGTCCAGACAGAATGAAAACATGTTTGCAGGAAATGGTAGAACGAACCAGGAATAGGAAAAAGGGATACAAAGCCCAAAGGACAAAAAAGTTAAACAAAAAAAAAAAATAGAAAATGCAGGAAGATATGTAAAAGAATGATTGCAAATGTTTCCCTTCACTTTTTTTTTTTATCACCAACATTAACTTATCATCTGTCGAAATGTTAAGAAAAAAACAAAACCAATAATATCTTTATTTTGCATCTAAGAAAACTCCAATAAATTATTGCAGATGTTTTCATGTGCAAACAACTTCTCACAATTCCCTGAGACGTGAGAGTTAAACCTGAACATCATTAGAGGCAAAAGATTAACTCTAAGAAACTGTAAGTCCATCCAGTTTACAAAGCGCAAACATTCCCAGCAGCTCCATTTAAAGCTCTTTGATGAGGACAATGCTCTCTGGGCTCTGATATGAGCTGCAGGCCTACATGGTAGTAATGTAGGAGGTGTGCTCTCTCAGTCCCATTGTTTGCCCTCAAATCAGGAGCCAGAGGTGTCGGGGTCTCTCACGCTGAAGAGGTGAAATGGAGGCCGCGATCGGATCGCACACAAACACAAACTGGGTGGTCATTTAAACCTGAAAGTCATTATTTATCTAACACTATTTGTATGTTTAAATGCAACTAAAAAGGCATCCCACAAAGATCCCAAACATCTGGAAATTCACTAACAGAACATAAAAAAACTGTCTACTTAAAAAAAACATTAATGAAAATCATATTGCTAATAAAAACTCCTAAATCAATATAATACGACAAAACTTGCAAAAAATAAATACGTTTCCCTTAGCTACCCATAACCTTTTTTTTTTTCCTAAACTCCCTTATCAGACACTTATTACAGTAACTACATTAATAAGTAACTATGCATGATATTTTATGTACTGTGGGCGTTCTTGATAGGTGCTAATCCCCCAGTTTAAGCAGGATCTTATGTCATCATTTTGTTTGGATGACGATATGAAGGTCGGCGATATTACAAACTACGCCGCTTTGTCAATTTTTACATTTATATTAACACACAAAAAAAGGAACTCACATATAGTTTGACTGTTTACTTCTAGACTCTTAAAGGGATCTAAAGCAAAAAATTCAGATTCATTTATAAAAAATGAAAATAGGTCATAGGTTATAGTTTTTGAATTAAAGGCTTCTTTCTTAAGATGACGATTTGGATCAGAGGAATGTTTGTTAATCCCTTGATTGTCCCACAATGGGGAAATTCACTCTCTGCAGTGGGCTGCCATTGTGTGGCGCCTGGGGAGCAGTGTGAGGTTAAGGGTTTTTGCTCAGGGAGTGCAGGCTGTGGGGATCAAACCTGCTACTTGCAACCTTCTTAGAGCACAAGCGCACTGCTCTGACCACTAGGCCAACACTTAGAGTATTGTTACCCCCTTACCTGGAAGCGTCGATCTTGGGAGCAGAACTTCTCTCCAAGTACAGCATAAAATGCGTTGAAGGATTTCTCCTGCAGACAGCAGTCCATCAGAACGTGGACAATCTCTCTCTCCTGCTTGTCCTTTAGACCCATTCTTCACAGGAGATTCACAGAAAAAAAAAGAAGCTTTAAGTGAACTAAACTACTGGAAAATTAGGAGATCTAAGTTTGCTTGAAGCATTTAACCCAAATGGGATTAATGTAAAAACATTGATCTGAAACTCACCTCAACAATTTCTCAAATGCATCCAGGTAGTCCTCACTGGTCATAAGAACACAAAATATGTTCCTCCTGACTTCAGTGTTCATCCTCTGTTTCCTCGCCAGCTCTAATACTTTTTGGCTGAACTGAAGGGAAAAAAACAATGTTGGAATTTTTAATGCATATTTTAGATTGCATTGTGTTAACTGTTAGCATTTACATGACTGTCAAATAATATGACTAGGATTTTTCACCTCCTCCTTTTTTTGTTTTATATATGCAGGATTGGGTGGATGACTTTATGTTTTATATA